CATGGGGCAGCAAAAAGGAGTGAAAGAAAATATCTGAGGTTCCCAGATCAGGTCCTCACCCTCTGGTTGCTGCTTCAAAGACCTCCTTCAGCCAACCCCAGACACCTGGTCCTACCAACCTCGTCTCTCCTCTGGGGGAAATCTAGTTTAACTATGGCTCAACTATTACAGACAGGAACCCTAACCCAAGTTGACCCCAGAGGAGGCTAGAGAAGGGGGAGCCCTGCCTGCAGACCCTGCCTTTCTCTCCATCTCTCTACCTGCATGGAATGATAACCATGATGACCCCTAATCGACTCATTCAGCAAGTAGAGACTGAAAACCTCCTACGTGCCATGGTGTTAGATTCTTGGGAGCCAGAGATGAGTGTGCAGAGCCCCTGCTCTCAAAGACATCCATCTATTCATTCATGCATGCATTCATTTATTCAACAGCAAGCACCTACCATCATCAAGGTCCCCAGAGAAATACAAAAGGACAAAAGTCATGAAGGTAAACTCCTAGAATGTCAAAGCTAGAAAAAAGCAAGTTAGACACTAGTCCAACTCTCCCATTTTACAGGTAGGGAAACTGAGGCTCTGAGAGGTTAACAATCTGCCCATTTGCTAGCTTGGGGCTGGCCCTCCCAACTCTTTCTTCTGCATATCCTGCCACTGCCCCCCTCTCCAGTGCTCCTGTGTGGCTCCATGCCCCCTGCATGCCTTGCCTCTGAGGGTCCTTGTGATTCAAGCACCACAGATCCCTCTCAACCTGGCAGGGGGATGAGCCCTCCCTCCCACAGCATTGTGGAGGCAGAGGTACACTCTGTGGCCAAGGCACACAGACTCTCTATATACATCAGGAAAATAGAATGGGAAAGTAGGGCAGGGTAGAGGCTGAGAACTTCCCAGCTCCAGCCTGGACTGAACCAGCCATGAAATACAGACCTGGATTCAAATCCCAACCATGACTTACTTGCTGATGACCTCAACCACATTTCCTAACTTCTCTGAGCCTCCATTTTCTCATCTGTAAAATGCAGAGAGTAATAGTAGCTGTCTTGTGAGGTGGTTGTGAAACCTCAAGGAAACTGTGCAATGAAAACTTAGCACATAAGTGCCCAATAATGGTGGGGCCAGAACACCCATCTTCAGAGCTGCATGGCTCAAGGACACCTTCAGGAGGTGCACGGCTGTCTTCATGTCAAGGACACCAGGACCCTGGGGAAGGAGCCACTGCAATCAGGAACATGGACACCAGAGCCCAAGGGTATCTCGTGCTCAATGTGGGAGTCAATGGACTGCATTAGTAGAGAGAAAGATGTCTCATCCAGCAGAGGCAGAAAGAGGGAGGTGTCTTGGTGCCTGGGAGAGCCCTAGCATGTGCAGTTGGCCACCTAATGCACCTGTCAGTGAGCAGAGCCATACCCTGGGCATTGGGACAGAATTCCGTATGATATACTATCAGTGCAGGAGAGAAAGGGAGAGGGAGCGGGTACAGATCCTCCTTTCAGTCCCAATGGTAGTGGGAGGTGGCTGGATAAAACCTCCGATGGTATCTGCCCAGTCCACAATCCATCTTTCTTCTGTAAGAACTAACCCCTTCCACATAAAGAAAGTGCCACAGTGGCCATCTTTTATCCATAAAACGTCATCTTTCCAGCTAAACTGATTGGACCAAGGGTATACAACTGACCCAAACTGGAACAATCAGAATCTCTCTCTTTTTTAACAGCTTTATTGAGATGTAATCTATATACCACGCAAGTCACCATTTTAAAGTGTACAATTCAAAGGTTTTTAGTATAGTCACAAGGTTGTACAACCATTACCACTCTCTAGTTCCAGAACATCTTCATCACCTCAAAAGAAGCCTGTATCCTTTAGCATTCACTTCCCTTATTTCCCCAACAGCCTCTCCAGCCCTAGGAAACCAATATCTATTCTCTCTCTCTCTCTGGATTTGCTTATTTTAGATATTTCATATAAATCGAATCATACAATATACGTTTTTCTGAGACTGACTTTCACTTAGCATAATATTTTCAACGTTCATCCAGGGTGTAGCATCTATCAAAACTTCATTCCTTTTTATGGCCAAATAATATACCATTGTATGGATATGCCACATTTTGTTTTTCTCTTCACTTATTGACGGACATTTGAGTTATTTATACTCTGGGTTATTATCAATAACCGCTATGAGCATTCCTGTAGGAGTTTCTATATGAACATATGTTTTCATTTCTCTTGGATATATACTTAAGAATGGAAGTGCAGAATAATGCTTTTTTTTCTTATAGATGTTTAATCACGCTCGCTACCCTCAGTCTCAGTCCCTGTCAGTGTTAGCAAGTTTAGGTAGTGTTTGCCTGATTCCCCTGGAGCTCCACGGTGTTCGGTCTCGGAGGATATGGGGGGAGGGACCTTCAAAAAAAAAAGAGAATGGAAGTGCTGGTCTTATGATAATTCTACGTTTAACTTTTTGAGCTGCACCATTTTATATTCCTTCCAGCAGTGTATAGGGTTACAATTTCTCCACATCCTCACCAACAGTTGTTATTATCTTTTTGATTATAGTCATTCGAGTGGGTGCGAAGTAATATCTCAATGTGGTTTTGATGTGTATTTCCCTGATGACTAATGATGAACATCTTTTCATGTGCTTATTATCCATTTATGTATCTTCTTTGGAAAAATGTCTATTCAGGTCTTTTGTCCATTTTTTAATTGTGTTGTCTTTGTATTATTGAGTTATGAGAGTCTCTATATATTTTAGATATGAGTACCTTATCAGATATGTGAATTGTAAATATTTTCTACACTCTGTGGGTTCTTTTCACTTTCTTAATGCTGTCCTTTGTAACACAAAGTTTTTATTTTTAATTTTGATGAAGTTCAATTTATCAATTTGTTATTATTGTTGCTTATTCTTTTGGTGTCATATCTAAGAAACCTCATCTAAGATTACAAAGATTTTCATCTATGTTTTCTTCTAAGAGTTTTATAGTTTTAGATCTTACATTTAGGTCTTTAATCCATTTTGAGTTAATTTTTGTATGTGGTGTGAGAGAAGGGTTCAATTTAATTCTATTGCATATGGATATCAGTTGTCCCAGCACCATTTGTTGAAAGACTGTTTTTCTCCATTGATTTGTCATGACACACTTGGAAATCAATTGACCACAAATGTGAGGATTTATTTCTGAACTCTGAATTCCATTCTATTGATCTATATGTCTATCTTTATGCCAGTACCGTGCTGTCTTATTTACTGTAGCTTTACAGTAAATTTTGAAATCAGGAAATATAGTCCTCCAACTCTGTTCTTTTTCAAGATTATTCTTGAATTTCCATATAAATTTTAGGATCAGTTCATCAATTTCTGCAAAGAAGTCAACTGGGATTTCAATGGAGATGGGTTTCCAGTTCTTGGTCGACCCCTCCTGAGCTCTAGCTCCACCTCCTCCCCTTGAGTTCCCGGAGGCACTCTAGGATTTTTTCCATAACTTCCATCTTTTGCTTAACCAGATTACATTGGGTTTTGTTTCTTGAAATCAAAATAATCCTAACCAAGTACAGTAGAAACATGATCCTACACATTGTCCCAAACAATCACCTCAACATCACCTCCCCAGGGACCTCAGACTTGTCCCCCAGGTACCCAAAAACTCCAATCTCAATATTGGCCCATGTGCCCAGTTCTTCACTCCGCCCTGTAACTAGTTCCTTTCCAGGTTATATATATTATCTTTACCAGTTAAAACAAACAGGCCCTCAATAAATGCTTGTGAAATTGAACAAGATGTCCCAAGACAGCACCAAAAGAAAGACTCCTACCACTCTTCACCCTTTAGTATCTCTCCTTCATGCCTAGCACCTTTTTCGATACACAGATAAGAAGCCCTAGGAATGCCAAATATTGTTGTGCCATTGGGACAGAGGAAACTGAAGTTCAGAGCAGTTGTGCCATGCCCAAGAGTGACCTGCCCTGAATGGTGGACTGTACTGATGCACACCCTATGCCAACCAGCGCAGACTCTGGTGGGCCCATTGTCCCACTCCATCTTTAAAAGCTGCTTTAGAAGCCACTTCCTCTGTCAGTCTTCCAGAACCGCTCCCATTGCACCTATGGCATCAACTCTACAGAGCGACTGAAAGCTTTCAGAGGGCAGGGACAGTTTGCCATCCACCTCTGCCTTGCTAACTGCCCACACTCACCCTTCTGAGCAAAACGAACCAGAGTGGGAAGCCTCTTATTTTGAGTCCCTTATATGCCAACTCTCAAGACTGGCTGTGTTTTGTCCAGCAACCTGTACCCAGGGGATACATGGTAAGTGCTGGCAACTGGAAGACACAGAAGAGGGAGGCCAGCCTGGAAAAACTTTTGACTGAGATGAAGGAGTCACAGGCAGGAAGATTTGCCTCCAAAGGAGCAATTTTTCATGCACGTGCTAATTCACACGTGGCAGGATAATACTTTGCGCTAGTGACCAATGCTCTTTTTCCCCTCTTAGAATTGCCCTCCTTTTCAATTCACTTCATTGGAGCAGATCAGTACTCATTGCCCAAGGAAGGGATACAGATGGAAGTTGAATTGTGTTAAGTCTCAAGGGGAAAAGAGATCAGGATGCAGACAAGAAGGCACAATTTTCAGGTAGGTGGTAATGTCAGAAAACTCGATAGGACTAAAGCTTCACATAAAACTTGAGGTGATAGAAAATACAATTATCTTCCTTACAGCCCTAAATTGCAGCCTAAAAGTCACACCACTATACACATTCCCACCATTCTGGTACCTGCTGCTTCCATTCCAGCATCTGCCTTTCTCCAGATACTCCAGGAATCAAGAGCCTGGTCCAGCCTCCTCCAACCCAGAAGCCCCCCAGACAGCGATGGAGAATCTGACAAATGCAATGACCCCACCCATGTTTCCTACAACTTAAGGGGAAACAAGGGCCCCAGAGGAGCTCTAATCTGCCATCATCTCTGACCTCTACATAACAGGAAGTGGCTACTTACTTGACCTTCAGGCTTGCCAGCATGGTCTTGTCGATCCTGCCAAGAGAAAAGCAAGGGCTTCAGTCAGTGCCAGGGCTGAAGGCTCTACCTAGCATCTGTAGGGGAAAGGTCCCTAGGCCAGTCCAGACCGCCAGATGATAGGGCGCTGCCACGGACAGCTTCTACAGCCCAGGAAGGGAGGGCTGTGAGCTCTGGGAGGGCTAGAGCCCCACATAGTCCTATGAGATGAGTACAGTTATTCTCCCCATTTTAGAAATGAGGAAATTAAGGTTCAGAAGGGTAAAATCACTGGCCCAGTTTGAATCCAGGTATCTGACTCCAGACTCAGGAATCTTAAGCATTTTGTATATAGCCTCTCTCTTCATGACCCCCATTCCACAAGTAGACTCTGAATCCTAGATTCATTGGTCACTAGCAGCTGGACATTCAGCACATAGCTATTTTCTGAGATCTGCTTTGGAAAGATGCCAGCACCCCTACCACTCCCAGCACCAGGGACCCTTCTGTTCTGAGAGCTGCCAGTCCAGCCAAGGAGGCAGACCCCACTCCTGGGACAAAGCCCGACAGCAGGCTTCAGGGTGCACGGGGGCAGTTGGGACCCGTCAGACTGAGGAGTTCAGAGCAAGCAAGATCAGGTTTGCAGTGGACTATCCCGGCAGCCAGCACTTCCGCCCCAGTCTGCACCCACCCTCGCTGGAAGACAAGGCAGCACTGCTAAGCTTCTATTTTTACCCTCCACATATGTCAACACTTATGGTTGGTAAAAGAGACCCCTTCCTCTCTCCGGAGACAGAAAGATGGGCAAGACTCCCACTGTCGGTGTCTCCTCTTGTTTAGGAGTCACGACTACCAGTGTTACCACTAATGTCACCACCACCATCATGTCACTATCACTACCAGTGTCACTATTACCACTATTGCGCCCATCACCACCATGTCATCATTATCATCAGAATCACTATCACCATCTGTGTCATCACTATCAGTATCGCCACTGCTCCATGTCACCATCACCACCAGCATCACCATCAGGGTCACCACCACCCCTTTGTCATCATCACCATCAGTGCCACCAAAATCACCACCGCCTCCAGGATGCCTAAAACCCTGGAAAGTTCTTTCAGCCACCCCCGTCCAGCCAGTTCAGCTCTGCCAAAAGCTTCTTTCCTATAGGACTACCGGGGCCAGCGGGGAGAGGGGAGTGGTGTCAGGGGCCACATGGTGAGGATGCAGAGCTGCTCCAGCAATCACAAGTCATCACCAAGACCCTGAGCTAAGGGGTGGGATTTTTTTCACTCTGAATAAACTCAGAACTTTCTGATGTCAGTTCTCAAGAGCAAAACAATCCACACCTCAAGGCTCTTGGCTCAGGCCCCTCTCAGCTTCTTCCCATACGCCTCCTGGGTCCCATCCTTGGGGCTTTCACGACTAGTCCCTAAGGGTCCCACTGGGCCCCTAAATCCCTCTGGGATATAGACTCTCCTTCTCTCTCATTCCGCCCACCAAATGGGAGTAGGTTGGGCCCAGGATTCAATCCCCACATTCTGCTGCAATATTTGTTACCCAGGATAACCAAATTGTAACCTCAAACGATAAGCCCTTACATTTCATATTTTCTCAAGAAATCTCTTTTAATTCTTTCAATGTCCCTGTGTTGTGCGTAAAGCAGAAATCCCCCACTTACACATGGGGAAACTGAGACCCAGAGAGGGGAAGTATACCATCTGAGTTCCTCAGTGAGTAAAGGTGGAGTCAGCACTAGAACCCAGACTCCTGGTGTGGTAACCTCTCAACCCAACACCACACCCCCTGCCAGCACTCTGGGCCACAGCAGCCCATCCAGGCGCCCACATCCACACGAACCCAGCACAGGGTTCCCACACTGGGGTGTGGCCCCGAGAGGGTGGGGCCTATGGCTTGGGCAGGGCTGAAGCAGAGAAAGGGCAGCACTATGACACTAGACTTTTCCCTTTCAGGAAACCAAAGTCTCCAGATTCTCCCTGGCACCTTCTCTCCCCACCCCAACCCCATCCCATTCACTCTCATTACCTTGTCTACCCCTGGCACAAGGGATAGACATCCAATGGGGTTTTTTAAAATACCACCCCCTAGACTCCGCTCACTGTCTGGACCAGGACTCTAGGAATCTGTAATTTAGTCCCCAACCAGCTATTATATCCCCTCTCAGCTAATGGCCATCCCCTGATGACACCAACCCCAAACCACCAACCCACCATCCCCTTAAGTTCAACGAGCCCCCAACCAAATGACTATCGTGGGCAAAACACCACACTTAGTCATTCTGTAAGTACCTAGTGAACACATATGACGCACCAAGCACAGTCCCTCTGTCTGCTCCATGCTTCCCAAAAAAGGTTGGGCCTCGCAGGACACCATCCTGTAGGCTCTGCCCTACAGGAATCCCAGCCCAGCTTCACACACCATCCCTAACCAGAAAACAGACTAGGTGATTCGAACCCAGAGCCCACCCTCAGGACAGCAGCCCCTTGGGCTGGGCATCAGGGAGGGCCCATGAGCAGGCACTAGGCCCTACTGTGCCGCCCCTGGCATCCTCACTGCTCCCATCTGCCAAACATGAAGCACTCATAAGTCCTTCTTACCAGAGGATGGATGGCAAAGTGCTTCCAAAGAGAAGAAAAGGGAAAATGGAAAGCTGCATGCATGTGAGAGCAAGGAATTAGCCAGAGAAACACAGCCCACCTCTTCCCAGCCCCTTGTGCCTCCCTCCCCGTCTCCCTGGTTTCTTGTGCCCCCAACAGCCCCCAGCTTCAACACCAGGACACTTCCCGGCCACCGTCCCTGCAACAGCAGGAACCTGTGCTTTGACAATGCCCCTGGCCCAGAGCTGAAAGGAAACCGATAATGAAAACCACTAGACCCCATTCCCCAGCTGAGGAGAAGCTGCGAGCAGCTGGTAACCAGAGACAAGCCTTTGACCTCAGTCTCCCCACTTTCGGGCCCCCTGGGGAAGAAAAAACCTGTCCCTTGTCCTAGACAGAAGCTTAGTGGCAAAAAGTGGCCCAGAGGGCCAGGCAAGAGGTTGTAGCACAGACCCAGCTGGGACAGAGCTGGGATTGGCTGCCCAAGGTGAGGGAGGGAGAGGAAGGACCTCTGGAGACAGGCCTGTCCACTCCTCTCACTGCTCACCCTCTGCAGAGAAGAGGCAGCCCAAAGGTTAAGCAGGCCACAGATTCCTCCTGCCACCAAGTCACAAAGATGACACAAACAGGAGTATAACACACACGCACAGAAGAGCACACACGGGTATAGAAGACCAGAGGTACTGACTGAAACAAAGAGTGCGTGCACACACGGTCACATGCATAGCCACACCCACCCGGCCAGGCCCGCATCTCACACACAGCCACACAAACTGGCAGCTGCAGACATGCACACTACGCACAGGCTCAGACATGGACACACATGTTCACAATCATCACAGAGGTGCATTCACATACATGGGAATATAGGACAGAGACACGCACATTCGACCACAGTAACACGCAGTCATACTCACACTGGCTCCAGCTCTAACCTTGTGAATTCCCTAGAAGACTATACTGGGGGGACAATGAGAAAAGCTTATAGCGTCGGATGCCCCCACCGGGGTCCTCCATCTCCAACAGCCAGGTATCCGAAAGTGCACCTTACTGACCCAAGGGTTCAGGTACTACCTGAATCCCCGTTCCAACAGGCACCTGCAGCGCTCAACAAGACTGCACAGCTGGTCACACCCATCCCTTCAACTGCCACCCCCACCTGTCACCCACCATCCGAAGCCCCCAAAGGACACACTGCGCTTCCTGCCAAACATGGTTGTGGCCACAGGGCCCCAGGTCCCAGCGATGTTCCCAGGGCCGTTGGCAAAGAGGCCGCGGTGCAGCAGGGTCAGCAGGCCACTGGTGTAGGGCAGGACACCCTGTGTGGCACCTCCTCTGTCCCCAAACCCGCGCTTCCTGTGGGTGAGGTCGCAGGGCCAGGAGGTGTGTCCTGCACTCTGGGAGGCACCAAGACAAGCAGGGGAGGTTGCAGAGGGCAGCTTCCCCACGCCCAGAGGAACCCACAGCTCCGGAAGGGGCTCAGCTGCCAGATTGCACCACAGCCCTGGCTTTCCGGAATACAAAAGAGGCCCTCGGAGTCCCACATTGGGCCTGACAAGGAGAGGAAGACCTGGCTGGGAGACTCAGGGATCCCTGCAGACCGGGGTACCTGCACACGCCCTCCCTGGGGCTGCCCGAGACAGGCCCTTTGCCTTCCTGCTCCACCATGGCTCAGCACACATCAGATAAACCAGCTCCACACATGTAATGACACCTGAATGTGTGTGGCACAGGGGCACGCACATGTGCACTTATATATGCACAGGATCCACAGGTACACAGAGAGTCACATGCATGCTCACATATGTGTCATTAGACATCTGTACACACATGAACACAGATACTGCACACTCACGTGCAGGTTCATATAGCCATTAACAGAGACGCCTGCACATGTCTCTCATATACATACCACTCCCCATACAGACACAGGCTCACACATGGATGTAGACACACATACTCCGTACACACATCGACATACATGTGCACGCCCAGGCACACACTCAGACTGCACACATGCCTACAAGGTACACTCACATGTACACATACACAGGCACAGGTGCAGATCTGCACTTCTCAGACCCTTTCGAGTGTCTAAACAGAGGTCAGCAGCGCTACACCTCATGCCTGCAGTGGTGGAGGTGGAAGGGTGGCACCTGTGTGTGGGCATGTTGGTCTTTCTAGCTAGAACTAAATGCTAGCCCTCACCTCTGCACGCATCAGTGCTGATCATGCTAAGTACACAGTAGGCACTCACTAAGATAGCCCTTAGAAGGGTGTGGCACTTATGCTGCAACAGACTAGGGTAGGGTTGGTGGACACAGAAGGGGCGTCAGGCCCCTGCCCCGCACCCAAGCACTGGAGAAAGGGAAATAAAGCTGTGGCTGCCACCACTGGCCTCTCTCACTGGCCCAC